AGAAAAAAACACTATGCAAACTTAATGATAACAAGTAAGAAAAATATAAGTTGTTTCTTACAAGGATGTCATTTTTCCACCGAGATATTTTACGATTGCGGCCTCGTCGCTTACAAAAACTTTGAACAACGTTTCGAAGCGTCGATGCGAACTACAATCGCTGGCGCGTATTTTTTACAACGCATGCGTTATAAGACTTTTGCTTGGTAGCCACCCCTTTATTCACCGTCCTCTCTGCGTTGGACTTGCGTCGACAGATAAGGGAGACAGTTCCTCGGAAGGCAGGCTTTTAAGATATTTCCAAGAGCTCTTTTCTCCTTAGAAGAAGTTCTTTGGTAGTGAAATTATTACAAAATGTCTCTTGCGGACGAACTTTTGGCAGATTTAGAAGAGGCCGCCGAGGAAGGTGACGTCGAGTTTAGAGACAATGAGGATGGAATCGAAGAGGCGATGGAAACAACAAGCGGTGTAGACACGGATTCAAAGTCCGTCAAAAGTGTTGCTAAACTAAAAGACAGTAAACAGTTAAATGACGTTCTCGCTGGGATCGAACAATTCGGGAACCAAACCCGCGATCGCGTGTTCGGTCCCGTGGAAGTCGACCCCGAGTATCAGTTGATTGTGGAAGCTAACAATCTAACGGCTGAAATCGACAACGAAATCAACATCATTCACAAATATCTGCGAGATCTTTACATGAAACGTTTCCCAGAGTTGGAATCGCTGGTTCCTAATCCGTTGGACTATATCCGCACTGTAGAACTATTAGGCAACGATCTAGAAGCATCTAAGGTTGACTTGACAGATGTTCTTCCTCCAGCCACGAAGATGGTCGTCAGCGTCACAGCTTCGACCACTCAGGGTGAAAAGCTCGAGGAAGATGAAGTAGAACGTCTCATGGAAGCTTGTAAGACTGTTAGTGATTTGCTGGATGCCAAGTTCAAGATATTTCAGTATGTTGAATCTAGAATGACTTTCATTGCACCTAATCTGTCTATCATTGTCGGGGCATCAACTGCTGCCAAGCTCATGGGATCAGCTGGTGGACTAACAAGCTTGTCTAAAATGCCGGCTTGTAATGTTCTTTTGTTGGGATCCCAGAAGAAAACTTTGTCAGGATTTTCCAGTGCAGCGATCATGCCACATACTGGACACATTTACTTTAGTGAATTTATACAGGTAAGTACAGCATTTTTTATTGGTCTGAAATGCCAGACATCTTCTCGCCCTAATCCTAATCTCACCCGTGACTCTCGGGGATTAGGACAAGAAGATGTCAGACATTTCAGACCACATTTGTTATCTGTTAATACTGAATCAAACAGGATGAGATGGGAGTTTTTGTCCACTTCCATCGGCTGCCATCAGTGCTTGGTAAATCACCTTCAGCCAGTGAAATGAACAAATACACATGAAAATTTCAGCAGTTTTAAGATCAATGATTGAACATGCATACTTACAAACTGAGGCACTGCTGCGGTCTCACTATTATGAAACGGCTTGACATACATTTTGTAAGAATTTGCATACTACAAAATTATTGAGATATGTGTGCTGCAGTGTATAAACATGTGTAAATTCCATCCCTTTGTCTCATTATTATTACCATGACATCCAGGTTACAAGCTCCCTTGCTAATAGGTCCATGCACATGTAACAAAAATATTTTACCAGTGATTGCAATGAATAAGAAATTTTGTTTCAACCAAAAGGATTTACACTAGTTTAAACTAAAAGTATCATTAGGCCATTGTGTACTCCAGTGCAGTGTGGCTTAGAGGCAGACTTTTAGTTAAAGAGGTGTCCTCTCATGGACAGCCATTTTCTATAGAAAATTATTTTATTTTTCATATGCTGCCTTATATATTGCTTATTTGAGCAGGCCTTATAGCACATTTTAAATGGCTACTTTTCAACTTCTGGCTTAAAACCTGCTTAGAAGTTACCAGATTAAAAATCATTGTCAAAATCTTTTATTTTAGGACATGCCTGCTGATTTAAGAAAGAAAGCTGCTAGAGTGGTGGCATCAAAGTGTTCCCTTGCAGCAAGAGTTGACAGCTTCCACGAGAGCACAGATGGATCTGTAGGACAGCAACTCAGAGAGAATATTGAAGGGAAATTTGACAAGTGGATGGAGCCGCCACCCCTTAAGGAAGCCAAAGCTCTGCCAAGGCCAGATGATGCCCCTCGAAAGAAGAGGGGTGGCCGCAGGGTGCGGAAAATGAAAGAGAAGTTTGCTGTGACTGAGATGAGGAGACAAGCTAACAGATTAGAGTTTGGTCAGATTGGTGAGGATGTTTACCAGACTGACTTAGGTTTCTCTGTGGGTACAATGGGTAGGAAGGAGNCCACTTCCATCAGCTGCCATCAGTGCTTGGTACATGTAAATGACCTTCAGCCAGTGAAATGAACAAATACTCATGACAATTTTGGCAGTCAAGATCAATGAGTGGACATGCATGCTTACAAACTGATGCACTGCTGTGGTCTCACTATTATAAAACAGCTTTGCATACATTTTGTAAGAATTTACATACTACGAAGTTATTGAGATATGTGTGCTGCAGTGTATAAACATGTGTAAATTCCATCTCTTTTTCTCATAATTATTACCATGACATCCAGGTTACAAGCTCCCTTACTAATAAGTCCATGCATATGTAACAAAAATATTTTACCAGTTATTGCAATGAATAACAATTTTGTTTTCATCAAAAGGATTTAAACTAATTTAAACAAAAAGTGTTATTTGGCCATTGTGTACTCCTGTGCAATGTGGCTTAGAAGCGGGTTTTTAGCCAGACGGGTGTCCTTCCATGGATGGCCATTTTCTATAGGAAATTATTTTATTTTTCATATGCTGTCTTATAAATTGCTCATTTGAGCAGGCCCTATAGCACATTTTATATGGCACTTTTCAACTTGTGGCTTAAAACCTGCTTAGAAGTTACCAGATTAAAAATCATTGTCAACATCTTTTATTTTAGGACATGCCTGCTGATTTAAGAAAGAAAGCCGCTAGAGTGGTGGCATCAAAGTGTTCCCTTGCAGCTAGAGTCGACAGCTTCCACGAGAGCACAGAAGGATCTGTAGGACAGCAACTCAGAGAGAATATTGAAGGGAAATTTGACAAGTGGATGGAGCCGCCACCCCTTAAGGAAGCCAAAGCTCTGCCAAGGCCAGATGATGCCCCTCGAAAGAAGAGGGGTGGCCGCAGGGTGCGGAAAATGAAAGAGAAGTTTGCTGTGACTGAGATGAGGAGACAAGCTAACAGATTAGAGTTTGGTCAGATTGGTGAGGATGTTTACCAGACTGACTTAGGTTTCTCTGTGGGTACAATGGGTAGGAAGGAGAACACAGGGCGGGTGCGAACCCCGGCTGTCGATAAAAAGACACAGGTGTCTATCTCCAAACGTCTGCAGGTAAGAAGTGTATATTTTGCTATTCTCTGAGAAAGTGGAGAAAATAAAAACATGTGCGAACTGTAAATTGTTTTCTTTTTTACAAAGAGATTTAAGATTAAACTGACCGAAGATTGCTGTTGTTATTGTTATTCATTGACTAAGGATTGCAGTTAAAACCTGGGGTTTTACGAAAAAAACATAAATTAAACTGCTGCAAAAGCATTGTAAGTTACAGTGAGAATGTACTAAACAACTGAGTGCTGCTGGGAGTTCCCTTGTGGGACTTCTATAAAGTTCTACGAATCAAGACAAAAATACTGGTAATACAGCCATCAAAATAATATTTAATGTAGAGGGACCAACACAAACAAATTCCTCTCTTGCCTTGAAGCTTCTTACTGCTTTTGTCATCATGCAGAACATTTTGGGATTTCTGCTTGTGTCCAACACTTTCTTGAAGGTTTCTTATCACAAGCTCTGCATGTACCACACTCAGAGTGATTTACATGTATGTTGTTTTTATAGCGGAGTCTTCAGCAGTCTCAAGGTATGGGTGGTCAGACAACCGTTCGCCGAGCTGTCTCAGGGACAGCCTCTAGTGTTGCCTTCACTCCACTCCAGGGCCTGGAGATTGTCAGTCCTCAGGCAGTGGAGAAGAAAGTGGAAGATGCCAAGTATTTCTCAAGCACAGCAGGCTTCCTCAAGGTCAAGAAACAATGATTAAAGATCACTGGCCCAGATGATGACGACCAAACTGACTTGTACGCTGTTTTTATTCTCGTACAGAAACTTGGACACTGTTTTTAGTTTTGATGAGAATAATAATTTTGTATTTTTCTGAAATGGTACAGGCTAGTGGAGCTCACAATGTTAACAGTAGCTTTGGATGTTTTTCATACCAACTCAGTTGTTAATGCGGTAAATTACTTTTTCACATGCACAAAAGACCCCAGCACTATACAGAGTGATTGTAGCGAGTGAAGTTTTGGGAAGCCATCATTGAACTCTTCACGGAAAAATCTGCTGTGTCTTAAATGGACTAGTTACAAAAATCTTTGTTTCTAGTTCCGGCTGTAACATTACACACATGTTACAGAATACAGTGTTTGTAATAGAAATTGGATGTAAAAAATATAACTTATCTCTTCAGTCTGTCAAAGTATTTTGCTGATCAAATTTCAGGAATCTAGCACTAGCGGGGATAGAAGTTTAGAGTCACGTCCTTTACAAACACCATGGTTTCTTTTACTGTCAAAGTGGTTGAATTTTTTTACAATGTTGGAAACTTTGTCTGAGGTGAAGCTGCTATGGTAATATCTGGTGCTAAGAAACAAGTAAATTATATGACTGCTCATACGTCACTAAAATTCGACTTGCAAACATAACGCGATGAAATTGTCCTCTGTACATAGTCCGGGACTACCGGGAGCATATGTCTGATAAATAAGTCCCGTGGGCATTTTTGGAAGAAAGCAAGCCAGTGGCCTACAAGAGTTCATTGGATCATGAGGGACCTAAAAAATTGTTGTTAACAATTTTGTAAAGCGTTAAGAGGGTATCATGGCTTCTGAATAATGACCGCTTCCTGAAAATCGCAAAAATGAATACCCATCAAGTAAAACTGTCTTTTACAATCGCAACAATTAGTACCCGCAAAATTGCAGATCCGCAAAATTAAAATCCCGCGAAAAATTAAGTGCCACACAGTACTTACAAAACGTCCCAAATATGTAGGAGAAGTGACTTAAATCTTCAGCGTCCGTTGCCTTTCAAAGTAGTACTGCAGGGCCAAGTTCATCCTCGGAGGCCCAGGGGCAGTTAGTGGGGGTTTCCTCTCCTTCTTGACTTTTCTTCGCCCGAACTTTTTTTCACCCATTTGAGAAATAGGCCAAGCTCAGTTTACGGGAAGAATATTGTTATCTGTTCACTTTCAGCCCGGTCGACTCGGCTGAGATTCAAGAAACAAAACCAAAATTGTGCCCCATAACCTTGGATAATTAGCGTATAGCGGCTATTGTAGCTTCGCTGACTATCGATAAAGCTAATTGTATTTTGGTGTGGTCCGTAGAGAAGGTCCTTAGGGTTAGTCCATGGACCGGTCCGTAGGGTAGTCCGCGGACGCGGTCCGTAGTGGGGGCCCACGGACCGCGGGTCAGTGTTTTCGGGTAGCCCCAGGCTATTTTTTCAAAACGTTTCGTCAAAATTTTAACATCAAAATTTTAGCAAAGGAAATAGGATTGAGGCGAGATCTCAGTAATCGGACAAGCCCGGTCCACCGTGTCTCATATGAAGATGCCCTATAAACCACTGAACGATTTCAACCTGGGGGTGGAGCGGGGGTACTTCCAGAAACGTTGGGTGGGGGCGTGCAGCCCAGTTCCCAAAACCCTTATCTTTTNACAAAACGTCCCAAATATGTAGGAGAAGTGACTTAAATCTTCAGCGTCCGTTGCCTTTCAAAGTAGTACTTGGATAATTGGATAATTAGCGGCTATTGTAGCTTCGCTGACTATAAAAAAAGGTAATTGTATTTTGGTGTGGTCCGTAGAGAAGGTCCTTAGGGTTAGTCCATGGACCGGTCCCTAGGGTAGTCCATGGACCGGTCCGTAGGGTAGTCTGCGGACGCGGTCCGTAGTGGGGGGCCGCGGACCGCGGGTCAGTGTCTTCGGGTAACCCCAGGCGATTTTGTCAAAACGTTTCGTCAAAACGTTTCGTCAAAATTTTAACATCAAAATTTTAACTAAGGAAATAGGATTGAGGGGAGATCTCAGTAATCGGACAAGCCCGGTCCACCTTGTCTCATATGAAGATGCCCTATAAACCACTGAACGATTTCAACCTGGGGGTGGAGCGGGGGTACTTCCAGAAACGTTGGGTGGGGGCGTGCAGCCCAGTTCCCAAAACCCTTATCTTTTTATGACCAAAATCTGCGATTTTTTGCTACCCTAATTATGACCTGGCCAAAAACTCGATACCCTATTTACGACCGTTGCGGCTGGCACAGTTGCCCTAAACATAAGTTATGAAGGGCTTTTGTTGATGGCCTTACTGATGACGATGAAAAAGTAGCTTCCTCTAAGAAACAACCAATTCGAGACTAGAATGCTGAAACCATACCCTATTTCAGACTAAAATGACCAAAATCGATATCCTATTTATTACCAAAACGGCTGAAAAACCCTACCCTTTGGGACCGCACATACCTATATAGCCCATATAAGGGAACGCCCCGCCCGGGATCTCAAGATATTTTCTACTTGGCTAGCATTTTATCTGGAATTTTTGTCATCAGGCAGTAAGTATGATTTAAATCGGGCACTCGAAAATGAAAGCGTTATCCAGTTTTGTGATCAGTTTCAGTACATCTTATTTTGTGCTTGCTCCAAGAGCTCAGTATGCAGCGGTCTGTCAGATCTGTAAACCGACACTACTTTCTTACACTCCCCTCCCCCGAGACTACAGCGGGAAACTTGTACCCAGGTCATCTCTCATCTTTCATTCTTGCACGCCTGGTCGTTTTCCGTGTCCTGTGATTTCTCTGAGGAGCGATTCATGATTTATACTTTTCTTTGAAAATTTCTTTCAATTTAATCGCAGAAAAGACTTGTTGCCCCGATCGATAAAATGCGTCTTTTGTGTGGAATTCTAGTAGTGTTCACAATTTTAATCTTATCGAATCAAGCGCTCGCTGCAGACAAGAAAGACACAAAGAAGTTGCAGATTGGCGTGAAGAAGCGAGTTGCAGACTGCCAGACGAGATCCAAGAGTGGAGATACGCTGCACATGCATTACACGGTGAGTGATACTCGCTGGCGATAAAAGAATTCGTTTATGTTGATGAACACAGTCACTGCTCGGGGTACTGTACAGAGCACATGTGCAAATTAAGCTTAATTATACGCAGTTTTAAACGTGACGTGTACGTTTATTACAAAAGTAACAATAGAGCGGTTTTCAATTGAGTGTCGTAAAATCGAAACCGAACCAGTTATTTACAAATTAGACTACTCAGCCAATCTCAAACTGTAGTAAAACCAAAGCCAAAACCAAAGTAATTGCCTGATTACTTTCGACACTCAATTGAAAACTGCTTTCAGACCAGCCAACTCTCCCGGTTTTCCCAGGAGCCCCCAAGTTTTTCATCAAATCTCCCGGTCTCCCGGTTAGAACACCAAACCTCCTGGGAACTACCTACTGTGGCTCTTTTTAATTTTTTTTCACTAATTTCGTTATTTTCGAGACGTGGGGAACGTTTAGAAGGCCTTCGGGTGATTTTCAGAGAGTATTCAGACATTGTCAAAAATTATATTCTTACAATGCAAAGATTTCTAGCCGTCTCCAGGTTTTTGTACTCTAGGGGTTGGCAGGTATGCGCTTTATTGATAAACTTAATCATTGAAGCAATAAATCTTGACAAAACTTGATAGAAAGACAGAATTAGCATAAGCTGTTGACGTAATGATGGCGTGAGCAAAGAAAATTTACATTTTGATGATCAAAGTAAACAAGTTGAGAAACACTTGTGAAAGTTTGGAAGAACTTTAAAAAAGCTATAGAAACACTCGCCTGTCTGCTTGTGTTCCTACAGTATTTCTCATTCTCCCAAACTTCCACTTAAGTTTCTATAACTTGAAACATGGTACATGTTTTCTATTTCTTATTAAGCAACTATATACATGTATGAGCACATGCATCCCATTTAGGAAGATTCTCACACAGTAAACATGAAGATTTAGATTTAGATTTAGAGCCAAGGTCATACATGATTGGTACGAAATGAAATGGATTACCAGTACAGGTAGTAGCAAAATGATCAAGATCTCAGTGAAAACTTGATGGGATGGGATGCTACTGGTGCACCACAAGTTAACCAGTTGCATTGCAGATCTGCACAAAGTGGACAGACTGTCCTCCCTCCCCCCCCCTGCCCTTACCACCCTTGTACCTGAAAAGTCATGAACTGTAAGACTGAAAATTAAATTTTGCCCCCTCTTCTTCTCTACCCATGCCTTAAAAGATGTACCAACCACCAGACCATTCCACTTTTCTTAAATCGTAATGTCAAGTAACTGTGAGCCATAATAATATTATTTGCTTTGGACAACTTTGCCAGCTCTCTGTCAAACAACTATATAGGTGCTGAGTACAATTAACTTTAAAAGTGTAATTATCTTCAGGGTACACTGGATGATGGAACAGAGTTTGACAGCAGTATTCCTCGAGGAGAGCCATTTGTCTTTACCTTAGGTGTAGGGCAAGTGATTAAAGGTAAGCTTGACTTTAGTTAAGGAGATGCAGTGGTTATTGTCACAGATTCAAGTTGGTTGTAACAAAATCGTTTAGTGCAGTATACTGAAAAATCTCTAGGCCCAGGGCTACAGGTCAATACAGGTTGTATTTGTAGTAATGTCCTTAAAATTATGTGCGTTTCCAGAAAATATCCATACCACCCCCACAGAAGGGATGGAAATTTCCTGAGGGTTGGGGGACTTTACAAGACCAAAACATTTAAAGAAATGTATGAAGCTTAATTGGATCTTCCAGAGGGGTGGGAGGGGGGTGTCTTAGGAAAAATCCCTTCCATGGGGGAGGTATAGATATTTTCTGGAACTAAACAGTTTTATATGAACGTGGGAATGGTGCCTAAAAGGATGGTGGAGCCACAAGCAATCTGAGCTACACACACAGGGTATTCATGACAACCCTGTGAGTGGCAACCACCAGGCACCATCACACTGAACAAACAGTGGAAACAAAAGATTCTTACTACATACTTATTATGAGATGAGGGAGGGCTGGGCTGAGAGAAAGGCTCCAGGAAAACAGTCCCTCGGGAAAAAACACACAGAATGACACCTGAAGCTGAGCTGTAAACTACAAGGAACGTCTGCACAACACCCCCTGGCCACCCCACCCACCAACCCTGTGAGAGACTGCTTGCCAGCAATGTTGTCTTGCATTAAACTTAGCCTAAATTACATTTAGCCACATGTAATTCAGGCTCTGTCCTGTTTTTTTCCTCTTTTTGGGGGTTTATTGTTTCATGATTTGAATTTGATACTGAATTCAAGACTATTCTTTTTGCAGGTTGGGATCAAGGACTTTTAAAGTAAGTTAAATATCATTCAACTAACCTTAAAAGGGTCATGTAATGGAATAATTATTTATTGTCTGACTAATTTTTGTGGTTTGCAAAGATATCATCAGATTAAGGCAGAAACTCAAAATAGAAGTTAGCTGAGATAAAAATTTTATTAATGACACACTGACCTGTGAATAAAGTACTGTCGAACCTCATGTAAGCGGACACCCCATGGACCAAAAAATGTGTGTTCACTTAGGAGAGGCATCCACTTATCAAACTGGTTAAAAAGGCATTGTTTTTAAGTGGCTGAGGCTAGCTATAAGGAAGTGTCAGCTTACAAGAGTTGTCCAGCAACAAGGATTGTTGTACATAAAAATTGTTTTGGAATGATTCATTTTTGATCACTTCAATTTATCTTGTGTCTTGTTAGCATGTGTGAAGGAGAAAAGAGGAAGCTTGTTATACCTTCAGATCTTGGTAAGCTGTTACTGCAGAAAGTGGCCAGATGTAGTAAAGCGATATTCTCTGCAGGATTTGCTAATTTACACTCTCCTAACTGAGCCATCAAGCAAAGAACTGAGTGTTCAAATTACTGTAGGGGTTTCATTTGTATTTTGCAGTTATTACAACATGTTTCATCAGGTCTTGTTGTTCAGTGGTTAGATTGGCATGACAGCTGTTCTGACAAGATTTATATACATCATTTAGAATGTTCTCTGTCATGTATATTTGGAGTTTGATAATCAGTGTGTTAACTCATGGTGTCAGTTGTCCATCTTTTCTCTGTTTTTCTTGTCTGTTTTGGTTACTTCTGGTTTTCAGCTAGATGTGCTTTGCTTATCACTATATTTTCTATGCCAAAGATAAATTCTGACTTAATATTAAATGAAATAATTGCAGGTTATGGTCAGAGAGGAGCCCCTCCTAAAATTCCTGGTGAGTTTCAGTGTTGTTATAGTAACATGTTGTCATTGTGATGAATAGTTGCTGTGTTTGACCACTTAAACCAACCATGATCATGAAAATGTGGCCTATATACAGTTTACATCTAAGCATGAACATGTCATGGAAAGGTGTGATCTAGATAGGTATTAGTCTCCTTTGCAACTGTTATAAGCAATGAACAAATGGAGAAACATTGGGTGACGACTGAAGAAGACTAATAATAGTTATAAAACATTGTGTGATTCGTCGTCAGTCATTTGAAGTTTGTCAGTCATTACCAGTTATAAGAATATTTGTACCCAAATCTAGCATAGTTCCTCTTGCTTGATAGAGTTGTGAAAATGATTTTCATAGGTATGGCCAAACGTTAAACCAGGAGTTCCCTGGACAAAGGAAATCCATTTATTAAATGATTTGCCTTAATATGATCATTATGCGAGCAAAAACTGATGCCGGCAAACACAACTTCATGTATGTGACAGGGGTGGACTCAGGAGGGAGGGGTGGATTGGGTAGCTTTGCTCGCCACCCCCTTTTTGGAGAAGCGGAAAAAAAAAATAGAAAAGATGAAAACGATTGTGAACATTATGGCAGAAATAAAGGCAAACACTTTAGACAGGTATCTTGTTGTAATTATAAGAATTTTTTACTAGCTAGAGTAGTTGTGGCATTTTTGGTGTAACAGTTTTCAATGGTTCCAATTCTCAAATTGCAACATTTTGGGGACATGCCTCAATGAATATGAAAACCCAAGGTACCAGCTCCACCCTCCCTCCCCATTCCCCTCTCCTTGAAAAATCCTGTATCCTCCCCTGTGTGCTGTGTCTCACGTATAACTATGATTTTTTCATTTTCTTTTCAGGTGGAGCTACTCTGATATTCGAGGTCGAATTGCTTAAAATAGAACGCAAATCTGAATTGTAATCAGCGACCCAGTGACCGCATATCACTTAGAGTGAAGTTGTCTTTTGTAACTGAGCTATTGGAAATAAAAATGTAGGTTCTATAAGATGCTCTTTCCTTTTGTTACTTCACGTTATTCAAAAATTAACTGGAAATTTGAGTGAAAACTTGACTTTCTTTGAAGACCACCCAGTGTTTTCTTCTAGTCAGACGGTGACAGCACAGGACTGAGCCAGGACTTGGTTCATCTCATCTGCTCCCGGAGATGGCATGAGGTATTAAAGTTATATTTTTGGACGTTTCATAGCTAGGTCAGGATTCTCCCAAACAGTACAAGAAATTATTTGATTATAAATTCATATCAAAGACAGAAGTCGCGTTTTTAAAACAGTCCTTAGATAATTTATGTTGGCGGAATTATGCTTAAGGTAAGTTTTTCGTTAGCGTTTCTTGGCCTCCAAAGTATGCGGGCTTTCTTCAATTCTCGGAAGACAACCCGTGGATACGTTATTTATCAGTCCTTGTATATTTTGAGGGGGGCGTAAGGGTTTGCGGTGATGCGGTTTTGCGGTAATTTTCATTTTAATTCGCGGTATTGCGGTTTCAAAACACTAAGCAGTTTGCGGTTATTACAACCTTTAAGTCGCGGTTTTCGGTGAAAAAAAAAAATGTCTACGGCGATAACACTCTGCGGTGATAACTCTCGGTGATATCACTCTGCGGTGATAACAATCGTCTTTTCCACTGAACGTGAACTCTTCACGAGACAAGAAGGTCACAATTCCAGAAGAAACATTTATTCAGCGTTCCACAACTAGCACAGGATCGTCAAAGGTAATCAGTCACCCAATGCAAGGCGTACAGGATCAGTGACAGAGTTTTTCAAAGTCAAGGGAGATATCAGTGCTCGTTCAAGTACATGACCCACATACTTGGCATTTGGTTAGTAGTAAATAGAGTATAATAGCGTAGTACAATATACCGTTAGCGTTATGATGGTATGTTTAATATTAACGTACAATGTTATCAAAACATATCACAAGTCTTGTTGACGTCAGGTTTCATATTGTGGCCTCCATGTACGTGCAGTTTCGGTATTCGGGAAAAAAATCCGGTGCGGTTTGCGGTTTTTTTGGCGTATTTCTGTGCGGTTTTGCGGTTTTCGGACCCCCCCNCCCGCCCTTACGCCCCCCTCTATTTTCCATCAAATGGAGAATATTAGGAAGCTCTAGAAAACCACGACGCCAACTGCAACGGCAACGTCGCTAAACGAAAGGTTTAATGCACAAAACAATGGCTGTGCACGTACGTTATAATTCTTGGTACATTTCAAAATGTGCGTTGTCTGGAGAACGTGAACCACGTCGGCTAATTTTTTCAACTTTTATTTCAAATTTATCGCTTTGTTCCGGATTTAGTTTTGCGATAGTTTTGACAGTGATAAATAAAGTAAATGACTTTAGAGTATCGCGAGATTCGTAGGTAAAATATAAATTCATTTTTTAATCGTTGTCTTCGGCGTCGCCGTCGTCGTTTCTTAAGCTCCCTATTAGGACCCAACCGACTGCAAACGGTTTTCCCAGCGGTCAAACCAGGCCACTTAAATGTGCCCGACCTTTCCGCACTGGCCAAACGCGGTGCTCACGCGGGCGCGGGGTTCCAACCGCCGTTCCCGCCCTGTTCCCGCCAATATTGCATTCTTCGTCCCCGGTTCAACTCGTTTTAAGATCTTTTAATAACGAACGGAAGCTTTGGGGATGAGAATGCTAAAACTGCCGCTAATTAAATGTCTCAAATGTCTAAATCCTCTAATTTCAAGCCAAAAGTCAAGACAGTTGCTAAAGGAGTTTATCAGCTTGTAAACTGATCTACCACTTGCTCATTTTAGAACGTTTTGTTTGCAAAGTCTTGCACGTTTCCACTTCTAACTCTTATGCAAATTTCGACGCCACGAAAACCGGAATTATCGTTGATTTTGTTCTTTGCTTTTCACCGGTTTGAACCTTCGCGCAGCGCGGGGAAGTGAAGTTGCACAGAAGGAAAGAAAGGATGCCTAAGAAAACGACTAATTAAAAAAAAAAAAATCAACAACCCCTTACACGAGCTAACTAATTGCCAAATAAAACAATATAACCCGAGGCTTTTGTTCTCGTGTTTCTATTTTATAACACCGTTTAACAATTAGATTATGAGCTCGAGATTTCCGTCGCGTGATAGTTAACTATTACGCATAGAAACTAGCGGGCTCTTGGCGTTTTCGAAGTGTCTGTGAAGAGGATTTAGATAAAGTTTTGAACGACTAATAGATTTATACTAAAATAATTAAATTATGAGCTCGAGATTTCTGTCGCGTGATAGTTGACCTGGACAGTGCCCTCGTCAACTATAGAAATCTCGAGCTCATGATGGTTAAATAGAGACACGGAAAACAAATGTTTGCCAAAAGCTGTTTAAACTATCTTTGCATAAAGATTACTTAAACGGATTAATGGTTGACAAGCGATATAGTCACGTCTGTCTCGATTAGGGATGAGACAAATTCTGTTCCATGAAGGAATGAGCATTTCCGATTTCTGCTCTGTTCACAATCCCAGACGACTGATATTCGCGTCACGTGATCGTCTCGTTTGATTTTAATTTGTGTTAATTGAGTGCCTGAATGTGACTGGTTTATTAATGTGATGCTTTTTACGACCGCGTACATCTTATAGAGCGCTATTCAAAATGTGGTTAATGATCTTTATCACGTCTTTGGCCTCTTCTGCAACCGTTCTTTCTTCCTCACCGACGTTTCAAGGTATGTATAATGTACAATACGCTAGAGATAATTTTAAAACCGAAAGTGTGTCAACATTATCTAAAAGCTGCAGCAAGTGTCCGTGAAGAGTTTTGTACTAGGAAATATTTGTAACCGCTTGACAAAGAATAAATTCTGAGACGGTAAATGAAGTCTGAGGAACGTACAGTCCACTGAATTAAGCTGACATGATATGGCAGTTTGAATTGCTTTCCCAGATCAAATTTGCTGTTATATTCGGCAACTCTTATGGGTAGTTGTCCGTTCACTGTTAGCTTTGAACCTCCCTTCTCAACTCTCGCAGAGGTCTCCTTGCCTTGACCGTGCAGGGCTGGGGAGAGGGAGAGAAAAAGCGCCTCTGCAGAAGAGGGGAGAGACTTGGAGTGGGGAGCTTTATAACTTCACAATACCGTGTGAAACGAAAATAAAACCTTTTGGAAATATATTTCTGTAGTGAAAATATTTCAGGTAGCGTGACACAAGGTCTGTCTACGAGTGAACAAACAAACATTGTTTCTTTAAGCTTTTTACAAAAGAAACGTGTCGTGCAAGATGTCAGTTTGGCGCCGAAGAGCAAAACGTTTCACGTCCCAGACACACTGTAGTCCCGCCCGGAAGTCGTGGCAATAGAGCATTCTAACATGACGCCCGCGATGAAACGACGGCGGCCACGTTAGTGTGCTCAAACAATTAAATGTCTCTCTACGCGGAAATACCTGTACAAACATTTCCGCTGTCTGAACTTTAAAGTACCAATCTGGCAGCCGTTATCACGACATAGTTTCATATCTTATCGTTAGCTAACGTATTAAAAATTAGACATTTAAAAAATACGATACAACTTTTAAAAGATACACCTCAGCAAGTGTTATTTCAAGAGATATTTTTCTCATTTCCTCTTGCTTATTTCTAATTGATCCCGTCAAGGGAACATTCCTCCTCTAATGTTGCGGTAATGCTTCAGGGCTGACGTATTTAGTATTAATTTTACAAGAATTTCTTCGAGGGCAAAAAAATGATATCAAAGAGATAAACAGACAGCAAAGCTAGCTCTATGTATAATCTTCTCTTCGCGAAAGACCAAGTACAATGGGATTGGAAAAACTGAACTGAAACAGTATAGCACAAACATCAGTGATCAACATTGTACACTAACTCATTTTTATACTATTTGGTGAGTTACATTTTTAATCAATCAAACTGCGATGGCATAAGAACGAGAGTTTATATGGAATGAAATGCTTTTATATAGAAAGGAAAACAGGCTGTAAGAAAGTTGCCTTTAAAATAGACACGAATGGGAAGACGAATGCCATAAAATGCTTGTTACGCCCCCACTCTCCCTTGGTCAATGTTTCACTGGCATGTCTGCTAATTAAGAAAAGAAAAATTCCGCTCTTTATGGCTAACATGTCACGATATGACCGTTGTGAAATAAAAAAAAGTTTCTTTTGGTCACGATTTTAAATTTTGTCAGAAATAAACGCAGTAATCTACGCCTAGGAAGCCAAAAGTGTCATAAGTGCCAAAGGGTCACAAAATGTCCTGTACAGCCCATAATCCGCATGCATAGGAAAGCTCCTTAAAGTGGTTTGACTCCGAACTTAACAGATTTCGTCTTTTCTTCAGATGATCCAAAGCTTCGCCTCTCTGTTCATCCTGACTGGGAGGGGTCTGGACTCGTGGAAGTGTTCATGCACGGCCAGTGGGGGAGGGTGTGTGACGACAAGTGGGATTTTTACGATGCTGAAGTAGTTTGTCAACAGCTCGGGTTTCCCGGTGCAGAACAGTCAACTTGCTGTGGTCGATATTTCGGCAAAGGTTCAGGGCCTCCTCTTATGGCTTCTGTCAACTGTAAAGGAGAAGAAAGCTCACTTTTCAATTGCAGTCACGTTGGGAAGGATGGAGCATCATGCAACCAACACTCTACTGCTGGAGTCATATGCAAATTGAATAAACCCAATGGTAAGTATTCGTCATTGACATCTAACTTTCCATCATAAAATAGCTGGAGATACGCCTTATCTAGAGTAGACATTTATCTTGCAACTCCGTACCTTGGCTCCCCGTGGGAGCCACGAGCGTTTTCCTTTTAAATAATCAATTCATTCATGCGTTTTTTGACGCTATGATTCCTCCAACCGTGTTATGATTAAGCAATAGAGCACTTTTTCCCTGTTTACATAGCCTCATCTAAACACGAGGAGGGTTGGGAGAGTTCGAGACAGTTATGCAAACCCGAGAGGTAGTCGAGGGTTTGCATAACTTTCGAGAATTCTCCCAACCCCCGAGTGTAATAAATCACCCAAAGACGCTCAGTTAATTTTTCAAATTTTCCATACATTTGACTGTAATTTTTTTCCGCAAACCGCCTCTACCCAGCCAAAGTTACAGACAACTGTATGGAAATTTAGAAAAGTTATCTGAGCGTCTTCTAGCCAAGCTGCATCCTTCAAACTTGGTGAATGCAATCTTCTACCTAGTATTTCAATGTTGCGATTCAAAAATTGTGTAAAATTCAATTTTGGAAAAACGTGTTTGCCATCGGATTCCCATACAAATACTGTAATTTCTGACCGCTTTGCCTACCCGTCAAGATGGCGTCGAAAACTGTGGTAAGGCTTAATAAGAAAAGGAATCAGTTCTTAACAGTTTACAAAAGGTTTAAAAGTTGGGTTTTTCCGTAGTTATCCGGCCTCCGCAACTTTATTTGAACACCCGACCTTTTCGACAGAGAACCTATTCGCGAAATTAAATTTTGCCACGTGCTTTACATTAATTCTTCTTTCCACATATCCTCAGTTCGCCTGGTGGGATCTCCTCTTGCGCATGCGGGTATTGTGCAAATCCGCAATTATGGCCGCTGGGGGTCTTCCTGTGACCGGTACTGGGGACCAACGCAAGGTCACGTGGTGTGTCGAGAGTTGGGTTATCGCAGAGCCCTTTTTACCAATTTTAGATCTGATGGATTGTTTGAGCGACAGTCTGCGCCGATTTGGATAAAGAAAGCAAATTGTACAGGAAACGAGTCTTCCATCTTTCAGTGCGATTTAAAGTACATGTGTAGCAGTGATAAACGGTACGCTCAGTGTTTATATGTCTTCAAACACAATGATAGAGTGATCTGTGAATCCAACCACGAACCAGCACTGAACGGTACGTACCCTTCAATGAAATTCACAATACTTTATTATAAGTCTATGAGCTCTATCACAGTGTAAATTACAGTTTCTAGTTTCCTGGTAACGGATTGTCCAGAGGTTTAATCCCAGTTCCCGGCCACATGAGGCACTGTCAAATGTCCTGTTTTGCTTTACGAGTACTAAGAGAGGATAAGCCTCTTCATCTACACTGAAGTTCTTTTACTAGACCCATCTCCTCCCCCACTCCACATCATGTCCCTTTTCCATTGTGAGAGTATTCACCGCCCGTGTTTAGGAGTCGCGTCTTCAAGGGTGCGTTTCTTTGTGACAGTCCAAGATTAGACTCTTAAATCTCAAAACGGATTTTCCGTTTCTCTACTAAATGGATTAATCCAAGATCAGGTGCAACAGAGGAACCGAAGAATCCACTCTGCAGTCTCGCTCGTTCCCAAGGCTTTTTCCGCCCTCCCAATCTCTAAGGCAAAAGCCCTGAGGACAAGATTGCAGATTGGATTCCTCGGTTCCTTTGTTGCATCATGATCCGAGTGATCCTGGAATCTGTTCATTAAAGAAACGCAAAATCATTTTTGGAATTTAGAATCTAAGCTTAGATTTTCCCAAAGAAACGCACCCTTTTTATTACTCTCAACTTTGTGACTCTTGTCTTGATAAATAAAAATAATAATAACCAAATTATCGGCTACTCAGTCCGGTAGTGGCCCACATTCGTAGTTTTCAATACTCAGCTAGACGAGCTCATTTGATGCGATGTACCACTGTTTTTAAAGGCACCATAAAACACAAGGGGGTATAATGGCTTAGTTAACTCTTGAAAACAAACTGTTCCAAATTTAACCGAAAATATTTAAGCAGGCATGGACCTGAATGATGTATCTCCAACACTATGTTTGACACGGACTTGTACAAAAGTTTTAATAAGATAACGTTTGAAACGTCGTCCGAATAAGTTCGGCCTTTGTCAGTTTTAAAACGCCAACTGAATGACTAATATCTGATTACAGTTCCAAATTTTATCAAGTTAATTCGCCATTCCAGTTTCTTTGAACATGGTTTTCAGCAATGATTTGTCGACATTTTTTCCAGAAAACAGCTGGCTATCGTTACAGGAACACCCTCCTGAGACATTTCTTTTGTGTTGTTTTTACAGAAACGGCTGCCGTCAGATTAAATGGCAGTAAACTTTCCCACATGGGAAGGGTGGAGATAAAACAGCACGGTTTCTGGCACATTGTTTGCAGTATTGGCTGGGACAAACACGACGCCGATGTAGTTTGTCGTCAGCTGGGATTCCCGGAAGCTGTGGTGGAGGTTGGACACGGTCAGTTTGGTTCTGGCTCTGGACTAATGTGGCTGACCAGTGTCGGTTGCCAGGGAAACGAGACATCGTTAGATAAATGTGTGAACGCAGGATGGGAGCTCAAAAAAAGTTGCGGGAAGAGATATGGCGCCGGCGTGATATGCAAAATGGACAACATTACAGGCGGTAAATCATACTAAAATTAAAATAATTTGTCTTTTAGAGTGTTTGACAAATAATTTCACAGTTGTCTCAGAATTACAACCCATATCGACTCAGAAGGTCACCGATCAAAACTTCAATTTAAACCACGTGAGCAAGTGAAATGAAATGAATCAGGATTGCGTGGTCTAGGTTTAACACGTGATTAGCTAAAGATACATCATCCTTTCCTCTTATTGCGTACGAGTTAGGACCCTTATGAACAATATGAACCAATTACAGAGATAAGCTGAAGTAAAATCAACGGATTAGTTTCGCAGAGCAGCAGAAAATGTTTCTTTCTGCAGATGAAGCAATCCCTTTGCAATACTGAGCTGAACACCAAGAGTCCTCAAGGCACAAATTTAACAGGCTGATTGTATCTATCCAAGGGAAAATAATCTCGACGTTCTTTCCTTTAGACGGTGAGGTACGACTTCGTAGATCTAACAAAGGAAACGCCGGCCGAGTAGAGATTCAGCTAGGAGGGATCTGGGGCACAGTAACCCTAGCCTCGAGGGACTGGGATATACGGGATGGTCACGTGCTGTGTCGTCAGCTTGGATACCGTAAGGCTGTGCGCGTGACTCGGTATGTCAGGAGAAAATTTAGAAAGACGAGAGAATTACTGATACTGTTTTGATACTGATTGTCTGTCTTTTCCAGAATTTAAGGGAATCGGTAAATAAGACTTCAGAAAAAGAGTGATATTTTACCTTGGGCATTGCTATTCATGACATGGTAATAAGTTATGGCAGGAGCCCAGCTGATGGGCTCCTGGTTATGGGAAATCGCTCTGGCTTGGGACAAGCCTAAGACTAGACGAAAATGGAAGCGGACAGCTTCGCTTTCGCGGCTTCGAGTAGAGTGACGGGGTGCAACACTGTACGGGTCCGCAAATGATCCCAGGACCGCAAATGATCCCGGACCGCAAATGATCCCCAAATTGGACCGCAAATGATCCCGGACAGGAAATGATCCCCATATTGGACCGCAAATGATCCCGATCAAAAAATATGGAATGGCATGGATGGCGGGATTGTGTGGATAGGGAATTGGCGTACGTAAATACCGAT